TCTTATAGGTAGGGCTGCTCAATTAATCGTATTTTAATCGCAATTACGATTATGGCTTGCAACGATTACGAAAACAACGTAATCGAAATAAAACGATTATGTTTTTATTATTATTATTTTTGTATTGGTTTTTCTGTTGAATTATACTTAAAGTTCAGGGTAATCAACTGTTAAAAACATATTGTTCACATTTTTTTTTTCAATAAATGGATGGATAATTGTTTTTAATAATCGTGATATCAATTATTGACCCAAATAATCGAGATTATGATTTTTGCCATAATCGAGCAGCCCTACTTATAGGTTACCAAAAATGCAGCTACAACCTAACAGTCATGCTATGCACTGTAGTATTTTACAACCACTGCACATTATGCTGATTGAAAGCACATGGACTTGGATTCAAATAACTTGAACATTGATCCTTGGTAAACCCAGTTTCCTGCATCATATTAGATAAATACAGAAGATTAAATGTATAAATAAATGCATACTGATAGATTTAGATATGGAGATAAAGAGAACTATGAAGCTATTGGCCCAGATGTTTAGGCTTATCAGGATAACCTAAGGGTCAAGTGTTAAACTTGTGATCCTGCTACAGAGCAATGTTCTGTCAATCGCTGGTAGGACAACAGGACTACAAAACACTTTCCTATAATACAATTCAAGAGTCCTTTCATGGAGCTTCCTTCATATTGAATACAGAAAATGTCCCCCTCTACATCTCTAAGGGTTATTTAATTACCTTGAATCCCTTCCTATAATAGGTACGGAAGATGAAATGCTCAAATTGTATTATTATTTTGCTAACAAAAAAATAAACTCCAAACTTATAAAGCAACAAAAATATTTTGTATGAAGAGGTCCCATTTTTGCAAGGGCTGGGTATAATTGTGTTCAAAGTTGGATGGGTTTAATCAGGAGGTGCTTTGTTTGAATATTTGAATTTAATACGTTTAAAGGTAAATCTGACACATTTATATCAACACACTTAAGGATAAAGAATTGTTCTGTTTATGTAAGGAGACACCCTCTGAACTGTATTAGTTATTACAAAAAGTCAACTTTAAAATCAAAGATCACATTTTATTGGACAAAGTTCAAATGTTCACACACACAGTAACAAGAAAATATTATATTTTAATGATAGAAAGTTATCTGAAAATGCATGACTGAAAGCAAACTTTCCATCGAGAAAAAATGAGAAAAGAAAATGAGAAAGGGGATTTTTCATGTCATTTAAACCTAAAAAGTATTGAAAAATGATCAGCAGTTTAACAATTAGTATGATCATTTGAAAAAAAACTATTTACATTATTATTTGTTTTGTTTTGTTATTTAAACCAAGAGCAAGAAAGAAAGAGCCTTGCACCTGACATGATACAAATCTCAATCACTGCTCATTTTACTACTAGTCCTGATGTTATGTTGACATTCACAGTTACACCCTCCTTAGATAAGCACACAAATGTCATTTGACCTTTGAAGCTCATAAAAACAAAATACCTTTTTTTTTTTCCTAAAATGTAGTGGTGCCAAAGTCTAAATTTAGAGCAGATGTCCCATCTTTGTAACAGCTTAGTACACAGTCAAATAAATACTGTTTATCTTTTCAGTTAAAATGTTTTGTAATGTTGTTCTAAGGAATAGATCAAATACTGCGCTTGGCCTTCAAATAGATTATTAACATTTAACAACTGTCTAACGGGTACCAATAGAATGGATTATGATATGATCACCTCACCAACTTTGAGGATTGAAAACGCAGGAGGACTGATACTTGATATGTTACAAGCAGCCAGCCAGAAAAAAAGAGCCCCTTATAGAGTTTATCTCGCTGACCCGTCCGCGCTGAGGTTCAGCTGAAAGCCTGTACCTGGATCGTCCTTCTCTCCAGTGGGCAGAGAGCCCCAATGCATTGAATGCGAGAATGCCTGCGCCTCAGTAAAGTTGCTGTCCACTCGAGTGGCGTGCAAGCCTCATGCCGCTCCCAGCTTTTTGGAGATTTGAATGCGTCCCTGCACCTCATCCGTATTGTGTCAACAACAACTGAATAAATGCTGCCACTCTAGCCAAGAGCTCTAATTTCACTGCCCAAAAATAAAACTGCTTGATGAAAGTATGGGTGCGTGTTCGTTAGGAGAGACTCTTTTTACTTTGCCTTTTCAGTCTGGATTAGCTTCTTAAACTGCAGTGTCAGGTAAGATTTGCTTCTTCACATGAAACGCTTAAAAACAGCTCATTTTTTTTTTTATTCAAAAAAGGGGATTGCAGAAACTAGACGATCTACAGGAGTCGTGACATAAAAGGTTGCAACTGGTGGGTAGTATAAAAATATCAAAAGCAATTCCATTAAGATATGTCAGCGAGGCTTATAATAAATATACAGGACGGACTGTAACACTGCGTACACTTCACTTAATGACAACTCACACAATATGCTATGCAACATAATGTTTTGTAGTCTTTTTTGTCTTGTGTATTTCAGAGCACTACACTACTACAACACGCACGTGTACCACACACTTTTGATGCTCAAAGTCATGTTACCAGAGGACCTCAGCCACCGGAGCTCTTATCACATCCGCAGCTTCAGTGTTCAGCTTCCCTGTGCGATGGTGAGGTTTCAGGCCTATGCAGTGACCATTAATATTGATTGTTTCCAAATTTGCGAAAACGAGGGATCTTTCGATATGAAAATAACACCCTTTCTTCTTTCCAGTAATGATATCCATAGCCCTCCAAGGCCTGTTCTCTGACCCTCTCAAGTCTTTCTGCAGAGCTTCTGCTGAAGTAAGCCCTTTCTACTTAAAAGGTATTAGCACTCAGGGTTAAAACAGTAAATGCTCTGCATGCAGGATAAGAAATGTGCATCCTCAGAAAGTCTAATACAGCTGGTGTAAAGAGGGAAACCGTGCTTGAGCAAGTGTCTGCCGCCTTTCAGATGTTGGTTTCTGTGGCTGGCCAGAAATACCAGAGCAGAGAGCTATAATCCTAAAAAAATGTCTTACAAGACTATAACAGTACTGTGAGCAATAAAAGTTTTTTTATTGTTTTATTTATCCTGCACTGAACTGTGCCGCCGTAATAAACCAACTGCAGTCGCTTCTTATTAGAAAACATACTTTTGCATCAATGCTTTATTTAATAAAACCATTAAGCCATCATTTCTTTATGAAAGAAAACGTTTATTCTGCTCTCCTGAGTGGTGAATGTTCTAAATGTTTCTACATGATCACATTTATAAATAATCTGCTTTGTAAGCCCAGTTAAATGTTTTTAAGGCAAATATAAACCAACTGTTGCAGTGTTATAAAATAATACCTTGTAAACATTCGTAAGAGTCGACCACAACAGATTGTATAAGTAACTGAACATCAAAGCAACAGATGGCAACTTAATGAACCCTTTTCAGATAAATGGCAACTTTCTTTTAAAGTTCACAAAACTTTTCTTCAAGCCGTCTAGAGTTCATGTTTTCATGCAATCGTTTTAATTATTTGCACAAAGGTCAACAATACGTTTTGGTGCAGGGAAACTCCTTTTGAGCTGCAGAGGTTATCCAACTGAGCATGTGTTTTGTTTTTTTTCAACCCATTCAGCATTATATAACAGACCGAAGGCGTTCTTTTTCCAGTCTTTCTCTATCCCAGACACACTTTAATCCTGTGCATAAAGGGTGGGGTGAATATGGGTCAGCAGGTTAGGAGTGTCTGAAAGTCAGACTTGAGAAAAAAGAAATCAATCCACGAAGCCTCCCAACTACCTGTCTTTGCCCCGCTATTACATAAGAGCTCCGGCAGTGCCAGCCTACAAAGTCACACAGTTTCCCTTCACCGGTGAGCACATATCCGCTGAAGTGCACAGATTTATTTTAATTTAACAGCCGGGGTTTTCATGGGGAATGGGGGAACTCTTGTATAAAGTGAGGAGATCTGCGGTGATGATTTGTGCTTTCAGTTGCGCGCCTGTGTTTATGGCTAAACCTGTTACATAACCAGCTTACATTCCACATTCACTATATCACACTCTAAATATACCCTCGCGCGCGCACAGGACGAGTGCGCACACAAAAAGTACCGAGTTATAAACTAATTGTCACATGTATATCGCTCGCCTCACTGCCATCTACACCGACTGTGATAGTGAATAACGAGCAGAGAAAAAGATAATTTCTCTGAACTTGGATGAGCCCGGTTAGCCTGTGAGACAGCCGAGAGGGGGTGTGGTTAAATAATGGTACTGTACAACATGGACGGGACGTGGTGGATAAATCATGTAAAAAATGAACTACACCTCAGCAGCAATACAGACACACTTTTAAACAGGCATATATAGCCCGTTTGGTTTTAATTGTATGATCGTGCGGAGGTATATTCGCAAAAAGGCGTGCAGCGACTCCATGCTTGCAATAGTGTGTGAGAGCAGGCGCTAAACAATTTCCAGCTGCTGGGCGTCTTTCTGCACAGGAACAGCTACAAATCTGTTAGCTGGAGATGTGAACACCCTGCCAGACAGCACGGTGTGCTGGATCAGGCATAGAGGAAGACACGTCCTTACAAAAAGGAGATTGATCGATAAACTAGCCCACAGTTTCCAAAAGTTCACTTTTGACACTTTGACAAAATCTCTTTTGAGAGGACAGTTTGGCCCTTTTTGACACGAAGAGAAGCTCCAGTAGGTCATTTTAAGTTGCTGGGTAATTGATTTATCTTGCAGTGAGAGTAAATGTGACATCTGTTACCGTATCACCCCCCTATGATTCGAGCTGTCAGTGGAGCCTGAAAAGCAGCAACACACCGAGGCACTAATTACAGGCGAACGGGTAAAAGCCGCGGTGGTAATAAATAAAGAGCCGTGTCTCTGTGGTTTGGAGGGTTTAAACAGTGTGCAGTTATTTATGGGGAAGCGATTAATTCATTTTGAAGTTTAATTCTTAAAATCCGCGATCGGTCTTTCGTTCCCACGCATTTAAAAGCGAAGCACGGTCCGCTTACCTTTGTTGGTGCTGGAGCAAGTCTGCCTCCGAACCGGGGCTGGATGGTTCGCTTTTCGGAGCGTCTCCAGGTTTACCGGGGTTTCCCTGACCGGGGTAGCCGGCTCCGAGGCGCTGTTGCCCGGGTCGCTTGCTGGATCTGGAGGGGACTCCATGTTGAATTTCAGATTTGCTGTTTAACTACCGCTAGTACTTCAAACTAATTCGCTGCGAACTGTGAGCTCCGGCACTACGTCTTGCTATCTAATTTAGACTAGAAGTAAGAAATGAGAAATGCGAGTGTGTCTGGAGGTGGGTGTGTAGGTCTGATTGTCCACTGGCAGTGCTAGAGAGCTCCAGTCATGCACACTGGAAAGGGAGAGGTTGTCAATAGCCGAAGAATAGATGTAGGCCTGAAAGTAATCCGTGCTGATCGACCCTGCGCAGTTTTGCATATTAATTTCATGTTTTTATTAGTGTTTAACTTGATCAGCAGTTTACTAAATCTATTTAGGCTAATACTTCATTTATGTGGGAAAATAATTGTAATAATACATGTAGGTCGCTGCTGCATTTGAAACTGAAAATCTGCCAAATACACCATTATGACGTGTATGCATCTTGTGATCCAAACCATACATTTAAACTATACATCTGAAAATAACATAGCCCATAAGTATCATGAAAACTGCAGCTCCTGTGGCTGTTATGTCTTCTTTTATCACAATCTGTAAATTGCTCCTAGCTAAATGTGGCCACTGTTCAATTCACAATACTCAACAGTGTCTGTGTTTGCAAGTTCACAGTGAAAAGCTGCGGAGACATTTACTGCTAAATCATTCAGTGTGCATGCCATTCCTGGCTGCAGCACACAGCAGTCTGTAAGCTGCTCCTCACCACAACACTACTTCTGAGAACTCAAACAATAGCTATGCTTAATCATCATCATCATTATTATGATGACGTCCTGTGAAAGGTCACGGTGCATTCCATAGTCTGATTATATGACTGTTTTATTTGAGTGTCTCTGCTCTGATAAAAGTAAAGATTGATAACAGTTTGGATAGACTTAGTTACAATAACTGGTATCAAACGTCACTCTGGCAACCGACAGTCATGGCCCGCTTGTTGCGCAGCAATTACAAACAGCATGCTTCCTACATGTGATCAGCGGAGCCCCGCCCCCTTCAGAGTGGTGCACGTGGACTTTGACATGGTACTGCCCTCCCGGTACACAGCCAGACTGCTAATAGACCAGAGAGAGATAATACAAAAACTTGGCCAAAACTGAAAATTACCATCATGTACATAACAGTGTATCATCTAGAATACATTTGGTTGAAACCAGTATGTCAGCAGTTAATTAAATAGTATTTAAAATTACATAAATACTATGTTTTGAATCACATATTTCAACGTTCACTTATGTATGATACATTAAAATATCCATTCTGCAATACCAAACAGCTATATTATGTTATACTTACAAAGATAATTGACATGAATAGCATAATAATGACAAAGTGAGCAAACAATGAACACAAACAACACTAATCTTACTGCGTTCCACCTGCAGCAGTGTTTTGACTCTGTGGTGTCAATTGGTTGAAATCAGTAATTTTATCACTTAAGTATTGCTGATGTATTCATATCGTGTTCCTTTATTTTTGATTGAATGGCTTGCGTTTGACTCTGCTTGTGACTAATGTTTGTTCAACTTTCATAATTGGTGTTGACCTTTAATGCATGTATTTGTTTTCAAGCTGGATTAACACCTCATTAGTCAAGTGACATAATATACATGAAGTCAAATACTGACAAGCATGGCAGTGAAACCTAACATGAGAGATTCTGAGCAAAACAAGGTTATTGTCAACTAATTGCGTAAAATAATAAAAAATGAATGTGCAGGTATGGAAAATAAAAAATAAAAACATTTAGACATTAAAGGGAGATATTTTATTTAAAAAAAAATGAATACACTAAATGCTACCAAAAGCAAAGTCAATATTTGAAGTTTGGACTAGTCACCGAGGGGAATTTTGTCAAATAATAATCTTGTTTCCAGTGCAGCGCTTCTTGCATGTAACTCACCAACAAGAGGGTGATATAACTTTTGGAGCTATGCTGCTCTGAGGGCCGACTTTTTGACAGACAGCCAGAAGGAATCTCTCACTGCCAAGCGAAGAGGCCAAGTTCCTTCAGCTCAGCTTTAGCTCCTCCAAATTTCCCTGACCTTCTGACCCACAGCAATTTGACCGTGTGAACTCTACTCTCACATTCCACGCCTTTTGCATGTTCAGCAACCAAGTCCAGAAACTTGAACTTCAGCCAGACATATGTTGTTATCTGGAAAGACAAAACTGCCCAGATATTCACTTGTTATTCAAAACATAAATTGTAAATCTAAACACTCCTTAATTGTGTGTGCATGCATTCAATAATATAAGATTACCTTGTGGTTGAACATTACGGGAAATAATTCACTGTGGTATATAGTGTGTGTTGCATCACAGACCCGTTATAGAGTGTACCTGGTGGTTGTTATCATTCTAGCTTGAGTAGCATGTATGCAAGTTATTCTTCCCTTCTGTAAACCTAATGGAAAATAAAGTGTGGAGTTCCATACTCAACACCATAGGCGGATGTTGCGGGGGGGCAGGGGGGGCATTGCCCCCCCTAGTGGCTGAAATATATTACAGCATTACTACGTCGAAAACTGTTCCAATACAAATATTTCGTATATCAATATTTTAATAAGGTAGGACACTGGTTAATAATATTGTAGAGTGTTCAAGTAACCAAGGGATATAGTAGTTATCAAATAAGTATAAGATGTGCACAGTTATAAGTTTTACAGTTATGTAATGCACTGTTGGGGGGAGAGACTGCCCCTTCCATATGAGTGTGTGTGTACGGCGGGCATGGAAAAGTCATACTCAGTGCGGTGAGCGCTGGCTTTATTGCTACTGTATCCGTATGTAGCATCCCACGCGAGTTGGGACTGTGTACTGACGTCAGTAAAAAAGGTTTGCCCCCCGAAGCGCAAATGTCAAACTCCGCCTATGCTCAACACGCCTCCGACTCCCATTCATCGGCTCTACACTGGTGACCCCGACGTTTTCGAAGACTTAGTGAACATGGCTGATCTCGATGTTTATATTAAACTGCCGGAGTTTTGGGAACATGCCGCTACGGCGTGGTTCGCACATGTGGAGGCACACTTTGCCTGCCGCCAAGTCCGTGACGAGGACCTGAAGTATTTTCACGTGGTGGCGGCGCTGGGGAGCTCCACGTCGTCCAGGTTGGTCGGATGTATCGCAGATCCCCAGAGGTGGGGACTCGAGTCACATGACTTGACTCGAGTCAGACTCGAGTCGCATATTTTTTGACTTGAGACTTGCTTGACTAACATTGATAAAAGACTTGACTTGGACTTGGTATTCATGACTTCAGACTTGACTTGAGCTTGAGACAGATGACTTGAAAGGACTTGACTGTTTAAAATTAAATATTTGTTTTTGTAGTGAGATATTACGTTTAGTTTTTTCGAAAAACGTGATTGGGTGATTATAGCGCCATGCGCACAAACCTGGCAACCCACTAGAAGGCAGAAATGTCAGTTAACATGGCAGCGGCTAGCTTTACTCCAAAAATAGTGAAGTTTGGATTCAAGGATTATGTTGTCGATGACGGTAATAAGAAGAGAACAGCGGTATGCAGGGTCTGCAGCATAAAGATCAGTGACACGACCACCACAACATCCAACTTTATTTGTCACTACAAAAAAACCCACAGAGAAAGGTAGGCTACATGCATGTGTTGGGTTACCTCTGCAGATCCCCCACGCCAGGGCAAATATGAGGCGATTAAAGCCCTTCTCCTTAAGACATTTAGCTTATCTGCTAAGGAGGGGGCTCGCCAGATTTGTGAGATTCAGGGTCTTGGGGACAGCAAGAAGTTCCTGCACCACTTGCCGCCCCGGATTCAGACGGCGTTGGCTAACACGACCATTACTGAACCCTGTGCCCTGGTTGAGGAGGCTGACCATTTCTTCCTGGCGACACAGCAGCCCGGTGCAGATGTGCTGGCTGCAAAGCTCAGTGCCCCCTCGCCAGTTAGGAGGGCTTGGGGGGAGCAGACCGCGGCAGCTCCAGGCTGGCGTGGGGACACGGGGAGTGTTTTTACCACGCACGGTTCGGGAGATTGGCAAAGGCGAAGAAGTGCATCGCTCCCTGCAGCTACAAGCCTCCGAGAAATGAGAGGGCCGGCGCTCGGTAGTGGCCCTGAGCGTTGTTGGCACGAGCAGGCTTCTCTTCGTTAGCGACAGTGTCTCGGGTAGCTGGTTTCTCTATGAGACAGGCGCTCAACGGAGCGTGGTTCCTGCGTCGAGGGAGGACGTCGCTTGGAGGGGGAACGGACCGCAGTTGACGACCGCTAATGGCAGCCCCATCCGCACTTATGGCATGAGGCCTATGTGTTTATGCATTGGGGGGCAGCAGTTCAACTGGGACTTCGTCACAGCAGACATTTATTTTCCCCTCCTCGGGGCAGATTTTCTATGTGCTCACGGGCTCCTGGTGGGTGTTAAAAACAAACGATTGGTTGGGCCTTGACGTTTTCCTCCCTTGTGTGTACGCTTGGCAAAGCGGCATACAACGGGCTGTCGGGCTGTCAGGCTCACTGTCAGGTGCGGACAAGTACCTCGGGTTGTTGCCCGAGTTCCCGGACCTGACGCTGCCCACTTTCTCTGCCCCCACCACGAAGCATGGGGTGGAGCACCACGTCACCACTGAGGGACCCCCAGTCTACACCAGGACCCGGCGGTTGAACCCTTCCAAACTCGCAGTAGCGAAGGCGGAGTTCTCAACCATGGAACGCCTGGGTATCATCCGCCGGTCTGATAGTCCTTGGGTATCTCCTCTGCACATCGTCCCCAAGCCTAATGGTGGTTGGCACCCGTGTGGGGACTACCGCCGCCTCAACGACGCCACGACACCTGACCGCTACCCGGTGCCGCACATTCACGACTTTTCGGCGCACCTGGCAGGTAGGCTTGTGTTTTCTAAGGTGGACCTGGTGCGTGGATACTACCAGGTGCCCATGCATCCCCTGTACATTCCCAAAACGGCGGTGATAACGCCATTTGGGTTGTGTGAATTCCTGCTGATGCCTTTTGGTCAAGAACGCCGCTGAAACATTCCAGCGCCTGATGGAATCGGTGCTGCAGGACTTACCGTTTGTGTTCGTCTACCTGGACGACATACTCGTCACCAGCACTTCTGAGGAGGAACACCTGTCCCACCTCCGGGCCCTTTTCA